ATTCATTTCAACAAGGACAATACAATTATGTTCAACAACCAAAACTATGATGCAACAATTGCTTGACACACATACACATAGAGCATCTCTATCTCAACGATAATAAGATTCCCAGACCAGAAGTCTCAGTTTGGAGGGGGTGCGGTTACATAGCAACGGGCCTGTTGATGTACAAACAACGTTGCTGTCAAAGAGGCCGGTTGCGCTTGACTTACTTATAGGTTGTGCTCAGTGCAACAATGAAACACACACACACACACACACACACACACACACACACACACACACACACACACACACACACACACACACACACACGCCCGCGCGCACATCCTGCTTTATTGAAGGAATCATGAGCCAACAAAAACTGCTTACACCGCCAAATTGTGCTGATCAAACACTGCATTTTTTTCCTTAAACTGTTCGAATAGTGGCCATGGTGCGGGGTGTGGACACGGAAATGTGCTCATCAGCAGGTTGGGTAGGAACATGCAGCATAGGCTGCCAGTGGGTTCTTTATGAAAGCTATAAATCGGTGGTGAAGAATGGTTTAAATGCTTTTGGAGTGAGGTTATTCACTGTTTCTGTAAACTCTGGATTGGTTATGTTCCTTCGTGATGCAAAGACTCTAAATCAAATTTAAGGTGTAAAAAAGGGCTCCGGGGCTTAGCGTCATGCCCACCATTGAGCTAATTTAAGCGTAAAAGCATCATTTCTCATGTCATATATCCTATTCATATGGCGCTGTCATGATGTCATAAAACTTTCTATAATGTGAGGCAGATGGAAACGTATGATTATTTTAAAGTGCTTTCTGGATAAAATCTGCAGTGATTCTTTGCAAGGCATTGAATTAATTGCCTTGTGGTGATTCATTTGAATGCCACTGCATTTGAGGAATCAGGTTTCAGCCGCCATCTGCCCGGGGATTCATCTCCTGGCCGATCTGGAGCAACAGGAGAAAGTGAAAAGACATTTTAAATATAGAAGTAAAAGTATATCCAAGAGTCTCTGACAAAACAAGCTTGAATACGATGGGAAAGGTGACATTAGGACATTCACGCGCCAACGCTAAGTCTCTTAGCTTTAGTACTCTGTGTGTGTGTGTGTGTGTGTGTGTGTGTGTGTGTGTGTGTGTGTGTGTGTGTGTCTGGCGTTTAACAACCTTTCTCCGTGACCTTCACAGGAACTACAGGGCATCATTAGAGTTGGCACCAGATGCACTCGACTCAACCCACCACATTTTCCCCCCTCAAAAACTTTGTTGACTGATTCTTTTCATGGTAAATGTGTAATGCGAGTGAAAAATAAAACACCATTCCAAGACTGCCAAATTATTCACATTTTAAAATCATTTGACCAAAGGGAAATGCAATGGTGCCTTGAGATACAAGTGACTCATCGAGCCAGCATTTGGCCAATTTGAGATACTATCGCTCCTCAAAACAGGATCATATTAGCTAGACAAAAATAAGGGGGTAGTTCTTGATCCTTTGAGTATTTTGACAAAAACACATCTAATTGTGAAGCTGGAGTCTTTCTGCTTGGAATGTGAGTCCTCTTCACTTCCAGTCAGTTTACGAATGTTCTGGTCTAGGCTAGTCTTGTCACGAAAAGTGAGGGGGAAAAAATGTTTACATGTGTAATCTATCACACTTTTAATATGTTTTAAGATCCCATGAGGTATTTCACTGGCTCCGTGTTTTGGCTTCCGCAAAAAAATGCTTTGTATCCCATTTGCGCTGTAAAATGAATTGTTCACAGAAGTAGGAACAGCAGCTGGTTCATTTAAGGTGACAGGAGATGGAATCATGTGAGTGACCTTTGGCTATCAGTTGCTCTCATTCGTTGCACAAGAGTGTGGATGACAAGTTAGATCATTGTCCTACTTCAGTGACACACAAACGTGCATATTTCTGTTGAAGCTAACGAGACACATATTCTATTTACATCTCCCTTTTGCAGTTATGAACAGTATCCATAGCACAGGCAGACATGGACAATATTACTGTGGATGTTGTTTGTAGTGGTGTATAACTGCACCAAATGGCTGCGATGAGAATGTGTCCTTTGGTGGTTAATGTACACGTTCTCGTTTTTTTGTATGGATATGCATATGCGTGCATATTTATGTGAAGAAATGATATGGTGACAGTGAATTCAGCATCCACAACTTTGGCTGTCAAATGTCTGCAAATGCTGGTGATCAGAATAAACAAATTTTTCATTTTTACATTTTTTTTTCTACTCAGTGGGTAACTCATGGCATAGTGGTACACTCGCCCGACTTCGGTGAAAGCAGTGTGAGTTCATTTCTCACTCAGTGATGGTGTGAATATGAGTGTGACTGCTTGCCTGTCTCTAGATGTTCCCTGAAATTGACAGGCAACCAGTCCAGGGTGTAGTCTGCCTTTCGCCCAAAGTCAGTTGGCATCGCCTCCATCTTATTCTGAAAAGAAAATGGATGCATGGGTTGATGGATGGATGGGTAATTAATCCTTCAAGGGGAAATTCAACTCACAGTGGATTGTGCTGCACATGAAGAGATCACACATATGCAGGCATGCAAGGAGAGATGTCAGAGTGAATGAGGCACACAAGCAGTGCTGCACCTTTTGAGCTGGGGAGAGAGGATTGGTGCTCAAGGGGTTCGTAGTCTGAAATCAAACCTGCATCTCTATTCAGTATTCACGCTCACGTTCACATCTGTGGACAATTTAGAGTTTTTAATTGACCCAAACATGGATGGTTTTGCAATGCGGGAGTTAGGGGAGGCAGAGCCTCACCTGCACGTGAAGAGTAAAAAAATAAATAAATAAAATCAATCAATGTTTCCATAAATTTATTTTCCATTTTAGTTCTCCAGTCTGACAAAAAAAAAAACCTCATTGCATCATACCCTCTCAAACTGAGCCGTACCATATTGAATGGAATCGTTAATCCCACTGAGTCGGACCAAGTTCAATTGTTCAACTTTCAACTCGAAGCGTCCTCAAATCAGTTGACACCCCAAATATGCAAGGAGAGATGTCAGAGTGAATGAGGCACACAAGCAGTGCTGCACCTTTTGAGCTGGGGAGAGAGGATTGGTGCTCAAGGGGTTCGTAGTCTGAAATCAAACCTGCATCTCTATTCAGTATTCACGCTCACGTTCACATCTGTGGACAATTTAGAGTTTTTAATTGACCCAAACATGGATGGTTTTGCAATGCGGGAGTTAGGGGAGGCAGAGCCTCACCTGCACGTGAAGAGTAAAAAAATAAATAAATAAAATCAATCAATGTTTCCATAAATTTATTTTCCATTTTAGTTCTCCAGTCTGACAAAAAAAAAAACCTCATTGCATCATACCCTCTCAAACTGAGCCGTACCATATTGAATGGAATCGTTAATCCCACTGAGTCGGACCAAGTTCAATTGTTCCACTTTCAACTCGAAGCGTCCTCAAATCAGTTGACACCCCAAATATTGAAAACCATATCAAATCATCGTTTGTGTAAATATGCATACCCTTAGTAGTTTGTAAGCAGATATTTCAGCCTAAAATAAGCAGCAAGAGCTTGAACTTTTTCCATCTGTACCGCCTAATGTACTGGGCTCCGTTACACCATTTTTGGGGCACCAAAATGAGTCCTAGTGTGATTCAGGTACCTTGGTTCCCATAAATATTTGAAGCAGCATTTCTGCTTCGAGTACCCGGTTATTTGCATGAACTGTCGGCGAGAAGAAGTCAAGCAGGACCTGTTCATACTTTGCATGACAGGAACATACCGCCAATGCAGCAAGAAGGCCAACATCAAAATCCATACCTTCCCAAATACCAAATAATATTTGGACATCAATACATTTTTATTTTGAGGTTGTTCTTGGTCGTGTGTCACGGCATAAAGGTTGACTTGACTCATATTCATTATGACACATTATATTGTAACTTTCCCCAGTGTGGGACAAATAAAGGATTTCTTATCTTATCTTATTCCAGACTGTGTTTGGGGCATTTGTATTGCCATCACAAACTGCTGCTAAAACGTATAGGCCTATATAGCTGCAGGATTACTTTTCAAGGCATCCCGGTGTTCGAGTGGTTAGCGCGTCGACCTCACAGTGCAGAGGTACCGGGTTCGATTCCAGCTCCGGCCTGTGTGGAGTTTGCATGTTCTCCCCGTGCCTGCGTGGGTTTTCTCCAGGCACGCCGGTTTCCTCCCACATTCCAAAAACATGCATGGCAGGCTGATTGAACACTCTAAATTGTCCCTAGGTGTGAGTGTGAGCGTGGATGGTTGTTCGCCTCTGTGTGCCCTGCGATTGGCTGGCAACCAGTTCAGGGTGTCCCCCCACCTACTGCCCGAAGATGGCTGGAATAGGCTCCAGCACCTCCAGCGAGGATAAAGCGGATCGGAAAATGGATGGAAGGATTACTTTTCAAAGGCCATAGATGTACATAACTCAGCACACTTTGATGCTGATAGCCTGACACAGTTGCCGTTCCTACTCATCACTTTTGAACAAGCCAGATTTACTCAACTGTGTTGTTTTAGCCGACAAAATCGCTACTAAAGTTCTGACGTCACTTCATCTCAGCCCAAACCCCATACAAACTCAATTTTGAGCTTCCAAACAGTTTGTGTGAAATAGTGTGCTTGGAGCACATTTCCGGAGGCACCCATGATGAGGGAACAGGGCTTTTAATGGCAACGAGCCTCGGTCTCGGTCTCTCAACACTTTTTTGACTGATCTGATTTAGAAAGGAAATAATGCAAGAAAATCTGCAAAATAATTCCCAATAGATTAAGTTATGGTTCCAAATGAAACCCCCGTGATAGAGTAAATCCGCAATAACCGAACTGCGAAGTAGCGGGGGAACACTGTAATCCCACCGTGAGCGGCAGAGGACCACCTGGAGCCGTGCGAAGGAGACCGCCGGGAGCAGCATTGCCCTCCCCTCACCCAGCTCGGCCCTCCCCTGCTCTCCTCTCCCCTCCTCCGATCGTGTCCCGTAACAGCAGCACCACTCGCAGTCAAGCAGCGGGACTCCAGGCACTCACTTCCCCAGCTGCTGACGTCAGCTGGCAGCCTGGGCAGTGCTCGCCGCTCCGGACATAGCGCCGAAAAAAATGCTGCTCTCCGTACCGCCAAGGGCAGGAATCAACCCGTACAGCGGCTTTAACAGCAGAAACAGCAAAAAGGTAAAAGTCTCTCTCGCTTTTCCACCATTTTGACTCGACTTCACCTCGCGGGGCAACACGCCCGCCCGCGCGCGTCGCCACGGAGAGGCTGGTGACGGTGGACTGCAGTGTCCTTGAGAGGCCACTTGAATTTAACTTTTTCACTTTGGCGGAGCGCCGACAGCTTCCACAGCGGTTTGGACCGAGCCCGGTCCGAACCACTCGGTCGCGGGGTGGCGTTTCGTGGTGGCCGTCACTCGCCTTGCGTGTACATGGAGTACTGTATGTGTGCGTCTCGCGCGGGAGAGCGACACGGGCAGGATGTGGAGGAGGATTTGACGGACTCTCGTGGGGAAAAGTCCCCAGCGCACAGCAACTTGTGTGCGGACGCCGCGCGTGAACGCGAGAGCACAAGCGCGAGTTTCTAAAGACGTGATCACAAACTCCCTCTTTTCGTCTTCTTTCATCGAGTGTTACAAACCGGCTAAGTTGGCAAACTTTGTTTTTCGTGTGTTTCCATTTTGGAAGTGGAATATGCCCCACCCCTTGGGAAAAAACCCCATGGTGACTACTTTATTCCCAGAATTGTGAATCCTGTGGATACTGTTTACATTGTGACATTTTGAAACCAGTGTGAAGACGCCTACTCCTTAAAACATTCAACAGCAATTGAAACGCAATTGAAAACCCGAGATGGTTCTGTTTGATTGATTCTTGTGGAGTCTTTGAATCGTTTCCCCTAATTTCAGAGGACGCTTACATCCGGTCTCCCATCCGACCACATTGATGAAAAAATATTTCCCCTCATAAAGCATTTTTCTGAACATGTACATATGCTCTCATTCTGAACTGGTGAACCTTTAAGAGACATTTACAATGTATAGTGACATTTTGTCTTCCTGTGATAAAGGCCAACGCCTGGCTATTGTCAAGTCAACATTTGTGTCTGCATGAGCATTAGGTTTCAATTGTCTGCTTTACATGCCACACACACACACACACACACACACACACACACACGCACGCACGCACACTCATAATATATTCGACTGTCTATTTGTGAGATTTGTTAACTCTTGTTCTGTCTTTCTTCCATAAATGATCAAAGTGGATTATTTTCAGGTGTTCATTGTCACTTGTTTAAAAATAGCTGGCATTGAACAACAGTGCCATTTTCTAGCCAGATAAGTTACTCCACACAGTTTCCTGCTTGTAATCTTATGCGCTGACGTATGAACTGAATTGAAAGGTCGTTGTGCACAGAAAATCAGTATTTTAACTGCAATGGACAGAAAATCTGGAATTTAAATGGAGTGGACAAACGTAATCTATGTACGTATTCTTTGTCAATTCCGATCTTGTTATCTCTTCGTTCACATGACAACAATAAATGCGACTTCTAATGTGAATGGAACACATCCGTAATGTGACACGCATGCGGACAAAGCAGGACATCACGTGGCACATGTTCATGGAAGTAAATATGGTCCTACATGTCGGGGCTCACCTTTTTATCATGTCATATCACTTGAGTAGCAAGGTGGGGGTAAAGGAGGTAGGAATATTTTGGAGAAATCAGGCGACGCTCCTTCAATCTCCTCATTTTATGGAGACGTCTACTAAAGATGAGGTCACGTCATTGCTGAGGGTAATAAATGAACTGTCTGCCTGGGTGAATTACTACTACCACCACAAATGTACACTTTATGCACCATGTTTCAAGTGGGATGACATTAAAGTCAAATATAAAGACAGCACCCTTACTCAAAAGAACTTTGCAGATTCACAGATGACTGTCAGTCGTATCCCTCCCAAGCACTCCCTCATGCTGGCGCGGAGTGCATATTGATGGCGTGTAGTTTGGATATGTACGGATGAGCGTTCATACTGCAGATGCATCACATACATATCTGATTTATATCCACATACAAAAGAAGCCTGGGTCAGATTTTAAAAAAATCTGAATTGAACTGTTCACTCTTTATGAAAAAAATAAGGTGTCGTATATGGGCAAAAACTTGGGATTTGAACTGCAGTTTTCAAATGCAGGTCTGAGTACTGAAATTAGATTTGTGCTCATATTTTTGTGTGGTTGTTTCACATTAGTTTTTAATGACGCTGTCAGAGTCCAGTGTGATTGTACGACAGGCGTAAAGTGATGGGCATACGCTGAAGACGTCTGCTTTGACGTCACTCGTTTGAAGCCGTGTTCAATGCATCTGTTGGAGAGACACGATCACAAGTCACTAGATTGGAGGCAATTTATTTTTAAATAATACTCAATTGCAATTTATAAATTGAACACACATAGCATCACAATTTTTATGTAATGAATGAAAAGCAATGCCAACCTCCCAGACAACACACTGCATAAAACATCGACAATCACAATGGTACCTCGACTTGCAAGGTTTTGAAGACACAAGCCATGGATCGTCCGATTTATTATAAGTATTATTTTTTTTGTCTTAAGTTGCAAACATATATTTAAGTTGTGAGTGCTAGATGGCAGTCATGAATTTCACAGCAAGCAGTAGTTTGGCATATAGTGAACAATATCTCAAAAAAGAGACTCGGTTCTTGCTTTATTGCCACTCACAGTTTAAGTTGACTGGAAAACTACATAAAACAAAGAGCGTTACAGGTTGTGTAGTTAATCAAACACCCCATCATTTTGTCTGCCAAAAGTCCGGTAGTATAATGGTAACACACAATGCAAAATGCCATGGATGGGCTAACGAAACTAGCATTGATGTCACTGTGTTGTAACTCTTTCCGCAACAGATATTTTCCTGCAACACATGATATTAATATTATATATTCTTTATCATTTGCAAAAATTAATATGAATTAACTAAGATTGTTAGTTGTGACCATCTTCTTTGTGTATATACCAATGGATGTTCTATCTTGCCCCCTGGTGGCCAAAGTGGCACACCAGAAGGAGTTGCACAATGAAATCATGATGCACAAATTGTTTATTGCTTTAAATTCGTTTTAATGATGTTATTAGTCTATGTTTCTGTCAAGTTCCATGCCGTAGAGTGCTATATTTCTTTAAAATAAAATAAAAAACCAATAAAAAAATGTTTGTGGATTATAGGGTGTGGACTTGATTAATGCCATTTCCATTCATATTTCAGTGGGGAAAGAGGATTTGAGATCTGTATGTCTTGAGTTACAAGCGTGCTCACAAACAATTTCATCTCAATCTTGATTTTTTTCTATTACATTTGTCAGCGCCTTTCTTCAGGACTTGTGCGTCAAGACACAGTGACTCATATCGCTCAGCTTGTGCGCCAGAATTGAGCTGTACCGACTGGATTAACGTCGTGATGTCGAGGTCTGATGCATGCGACTCGGCCAATGAAACCGCAGTCACATCTCAAAACATCAGATCTCGAGGACGACACACTACAAGAAGTGGCCTGGGCCCCCTGAATGAATAAAAATCAGCTTTGCTGTTCATTTCGTCTGCCATGATAAAATTGGTTACACATGGGCAAAAGATAAATGAGTCAGAATCAGGGCACATATGTCTCCATTGTGCACATAGCCAAATTAGGGTAATGCTGCTATACAACAATACTAATGTTAAGTAATTTTTTTGGCATTTGAACTAATATTGGATCAGTCATCAAAAAGCAATGCCGCATTTCAGTGATTAAGACTTACTTTAGGTTGGTGTTTTGCAACTTTTACGTTTCTTTCCATCAGATTTGGACAGCGTTTTTGAAATGGGACAGTTAAAACAGCAGAGTACTTCTTTCAAAACACATGCGCTCTGGATGCACGTGCTTTTACGGAAAACACTGAATGAAAGCGGCGGCAATTCGTCATAGATAAGAGTCTGTGTAAACAATCAAAGTGCTGTTATGCGAACTTACTTTGAAGATAGGATTGGGTAATCGCTGTGTAAAAGAGGCTGAAAGTCACTTTGTCATCCTCATCCCACGTTCAACCTATGAAGTGTTGTATGCATTTTGTGTCTGTGGAATATGTCATTGAAGAAGCGGAGTGTAACTGCTTTTCATGTAGTAACCTGGAATTTTATATGTTGAAGAAACATGAGATTCGTGTTTCAAAGTCTTTATCACTTTGAATACAAGTTGATGTTGTTGATCTTCGGGTGGTGCGCGTTGGTGTGGCCTCAATCGAGAGTTTGAGCAAAGGACACAATGGGGGTGAGGAGTTAAATACCCCAGACACATATGCAACGCAAAAGAAAACTGAAAAGGTTATATGAATGTTTTGTTTCTTCTACACGTTACGTGACCCCGTGGACATATAAAATGGCAGAGACTATGTACTTACATACAACAATGGCCAAATTAGAACATATCTAGTTGTATAATAAGCAGTGCAATGCAGCAGGGTAGTAACCTAAATGGGAATGTGTATGATCCAGCACATAAAACAATGATTATGCATCAAGGAAGTGTTTCCCAGCCATTATTGAGACAAATCTCACAGCACACCACAAACAATAATAAATCATGATCTTTTTTTTTTTTTAATTACACACCAAACTGATATCCTCGCAGAAAGCCATGACTTATTCGGTTGCATTAATGGCAACAGGTTTATTGTGCAGGATTTTTCGATATATTGCTTGCATAGGTACCGTAGATGAACAAAGGTACTTTTGTAATTAATAGATTTTAGAAATTAGCTGAAATGGGACCATTTCCTGATGATCTTTCATGGGACAATAAGGGTGTCTGGCACTCTGGTTAGTATTCAAGGCATTCAGAGAAACTGAAACAATCCTGCAAAGTAACAATATGCAAATCGCCCATCAATTGTTTGGGTAGATTTGCTCATTCGTGGAATTTAGGAGAAATATGCAGCTCAAAGTTTGCAATTAGGGAACGCCTTGGAGAAGTTGACACCATTTTACAGAAGGCCCATACGGGGTTCCACATTAACAGTGGCCCGAGGCCACTGTCGTGCCACCCGAAGTTCACTGACACTGACCCAACGTTACCATGCGATTTTTCTCTATCAAAAACGGAATGGAA